AAAAAAAAAAAGATAAACAGAAACAAAATTGCTGGCTTAGAGATAGGCACATTTTTAAGGCTTTAGAGACATAGTCAAATTGTCCTCCAGTAAGACTATATCAATTTCATTCACACTAGGAGTATTTAAGAATGCCCTTTCCCCCAGCACCCCATACAGATCAGTACAGACATTATAATTTTTATAAATCTTTACCTATTGACACACACAATAAGTATTATCTTGCTATATTGGGTTATCTTTTTTTTGCTAGTGAAGTTAAGCTTTCTTTTTCATTGTGACGGGGGAGGACAATTTTCTGTTTCCTTTTGTGAATTGCTTATTGCCTTCTGTCCATTTCTCTGCTGGTGTGTTTGTCTTTTTATTGCCTAGTAAGAGTTCTCTGTGTGTTAAGGGCATTCTGTTTTTGCTGTATGTAGTGTAAATAAGCTCTTTCAGTTTGTTATTTCTGTAGACGTCTGACCTTCCCTACTAACTCTAATCTTACAGGAAGAGACATCTTGGAGTTCCCACCCCACACGGCACAGGGCACAGCCTCTCTCTGGGGTGGGTGCCCAGCGAGTATGTCAGGAGGAATGTTTGAGTTATTTTTATCCAACCTACTTTATAAAACTCATTCTTCCCCTCTCTGGAAATAGAAGGGAAACAGTTGAATATTCTTACCCGCCTTATTCAGAGAAATATCAACATTGTTTCATTATTTTCTTCATTCATTTAAAATATTCACCGAGTACCCTTTATATGCCAGACACTATTCTCAGCACTGGAGACTTTTTTAAATGTCTTCCTTTCTCTTTCCTTCTTCTTCCCACTTCTTTTTTCACTTGGCCTTTTCGAATTTTTCAAAATTTTTAAAATCATAAGCAAGTTTTACAATAGAAAAAAACCAACAAAGCCTTGTTTAATTAAAACAATAATAACAGGTGAGTTAAGAGTTAAGGAAGGAATCATTGAGAATGGCAGAGTTTCTTTGAAATCTGCTTACATCCAGAGCGTGAAATGCAAGTCAATTCAACAAACATTCTGTGTGATCCAACCTCAGCCACGTGCTCGGTAGGCTCTGAGGATACGGAGAACACGGGCCTGCCTGGAAGGAGCTCAGTGTTCAACACGCTCTGAGGCCGGCCTCAGTGGGGGCCATCACCAAGGTCCAAACCAAGAACAGGGGAGTGAGAAGGAAGGTGGTAGCCTTGTGGATACACAAAATCCCTATAGAAATGTTGAAAGCATAATACAGGTAAATAGACACCCTGTGGGCCACACTGAGGATGCAAGGTTGGGAGCACACAGATGGGTGGTTGGGGCTGTCTTTACTGAAAGACAGCCCATGTGTCAAGGAAGTCCAAGGACATTTTTGGGAACAGGGGAAGACCCCCTCCTCACACACACTCACTCAGGCATATGTGAGCCAGGGTCCTGTCGCCACATCCTGGGTAGGGAGCTGAAGCCAGCTGCCCTTCATAGGACTCTGCCAGGTACATCTCAGCACAGTAATGTGGCTCCAGCCTATTGGGCAGGCCCAGCCAGCACTGTCCCTCTTCCAGCATATGGGACATGCCTGGCAGCAGCTGATATTCTCTAGACCCTCCTGACGCGCAGTAAGGAGACTTGGATGGGAGGCAGGTGGGCATGCAGGTTACGTCGAAGCTGGAGAGAGGGAGCCAGGTGGTATTTCCATCAGGAAGGACAGTGGGACAGACAGAACATACGAGGAGGATAGCAGCACTTCCTGAGCCTCTACATACTGCCATTTAAACCCTGCAGAAACCTTATGAAGCAGATATTCTCATTCTCATTCTATATGGAATAACTCACCCGAGGTCACAGTTAGAAATTAGAATTCACACCCAGATCTATCTTGCTGCAAATGTCATTATTTGACCCCCGAGTCCTACCCCAGTGGTAGCTCCCCAATGAGAACCCACACCCCTACAGCCTGGCACCTGCACCTCAACAGTCCAGCCAGCTCCTGATCTCCCTGTTCTTTTTCTGATTCCTGAAATAGCTTTCAGCTTGGTGGTTCAGATCTGACGTCTGACCCCGGCTTCCCTCTTCAACTAGGATACATACTTGTTACTTCGTACAAAGGGCATTTGTCACTTACTGGGCTATCCCACATCAAATCCCTGTCACATTTAGAGAAATCCCTATTTCAAGGAATCCTTGCAGGCCTCTCTACCCCTAAAAGAGCTGCAAGGATCCAGATATTCCCTCTTCCCATCCCCTGGTGGGGAGATGTGGGCACAAAAGCTAAGCTTAGCTTATCATATGTTCCCACTCAGGATTTTGGAACAGGTGACTCAGTGACAAAAAAGGCACTGAGAACTGATATGCAACAGTGTGTTCAGGCAGCATGATGCACATGGGCTGTGGCAGCATCCAATATTGACAGGTCCCAACCAGAATGTTCCCACTATCCAATCCCCAGAGCCCCGTGGGTTCCTCCTGCTTGTTTTTCAAGGCTGCTCTTCTGGAATTCCTTCGATTCTGGGTACCATGGGACCCTGCCAATGTATGCCCCTTTTACTTATGACAGCAAGTGATTTTCTTTTGCCTGCCACAAAGGATCCCACTTGCAATGGCTACATCCTGCTTCCATCTGCTAAGGGTAGGCATCTCATCTGTCCAGCTTGGTTGTGGACTTACCCTTGGCCCTCGACCCCCAGCCAGCACCTCTGCTAGGCTTATCCTTACAAGCAGTGACACCCGGCCTGAGCCACAGGTAAGCTGTGTGGTACCCATTGACTGTGAAAGGTGCCAGATGCAAGCTTGAGGTGTTGGCAGGGGCACTGCTCAAGGGGCAATTCATGGTAGACTGTGCACTGGGCCCATTTTTGCTGGTCAGTCTGTGAGTGGAACTTAGATACTTCCCACCACATCTTGTTCCATCTCCTACTTTGTAGAGGGGGGGACCTATACCTCAGAAAGGTGGGCCCATGAAGTCTGTGCTGTGCTGACCTAGTCTAACCTTCTAATAAGTCACACCATTCCCAACAACCATCCCCAAATTTCACCATTGGAAGCTCTGCCCAGTGATCCTGGTTTTAGGAGGGTATTCCAAGTTGTGGTGTAAATATGTCCCAATCTTGGTCTCTATCTAGAGCATATATCTATACTTGGTTTTTTTTTTTCTGCCTACCATCTCTATTTCCTCTGGGGTCCATCCTTCCCATCCTATGTGGTCCTGATTTGGCTGTCAGTCATGGCGGCCCTTGAAAGCCAATGAGACAAGTCAGAAGGACTTATCTGATATACAAATTTTGAGACAGGGACATGCCTTATGAATCTAGGGCTATCACAGTCACCTTTCTGTACATGTGGAAAAAGAAGGGAGCAGAGCTAAGAGAAAGAGGAAACCCCATGATTGTATCTGAGCTGCTGGATCCAGCAATGACCGAAGCTGGAAAGGCACTTCTAGATTTCTCATTTCATGTAAATGACTCAGGTTTCTTCCGCTTGCAACCAAGAGTCCTGCCTATCTGCCCATCAATATCTCTGACCTTCTCCTCAGGGACCAGAGAGTTTCCTAGGACCTAAAGAAATGTGGGCTTGGGAGAACTTGTTTACGCTGAAGAGAAGGGGAATGAAAAAATCAAAGAAGCCAGGCAGCAGCAAATTCAGCGGGGATCCTGAAATTCAGCTCCTAAAGCTCCGTAAGAAACAAGGCTGCCCTCACCTGTAGTAGTTGCTCGTCTGCGTTCTGCACATCTCCCCCTATACCTCCCACCCCGAGAACCTCGCACTTCCCTCTACTCTGCTGGTCCAGAACATGCCCACTCACCTGCCACATGAACCTCTCTGCCACTCTGGGGTCGGTGAGGTCTTCTGGGGAGGCCACACTCAGCCGCAGAAGGAGGAAGCCTCCATTGCCACCTGCAAGTTGAGAATAATAGGAAGATGAAATTACAGTCAAGTCAGCTTAGGCATCCTGGCCTTTGCAACTTCTGCAGGTACCTGTGTACTCTCATGTGTAAATGTGTCTGTGTTCACACAGGCCTGATGTTTACTCATTACCAAGAAGAAAGGGGATTCCCTCTCTGGGATAACTAGGTCCACTGAAGTGTCCTCCCAACAAAAGTGAAAGAAATGGTGGCTTAGGGCACCACTTACATTTGGAGAAGTCAAAATGGTAGTGTGAGAAAGGAGAATAGAAATGGATCCCGAATGTTCTAAAGGCCTGGAGGTCCTGGATGGAGCTGATGGGAAAGGGCCCAACCAGGGAGAATGCTGGAGAGAGACCGGCTCTCTAAGGGGACTCCTTCAGCCCATTCTTCCAGCCTTAAGTTGAGCGGCAGGGGGTGTTGAAAATGTCTTCAGTCTAGCCTTCCTGGCTTATCAACTCTGCAAGAAAGTTCTGTCACCAAGTCCTAATCTGCTCACCTTTGCTTGCCACCTTGTAGTCATTTCTTCCTGTCACCAATACCATTAGAATTGATTTAGCAATTTCACTTCTAGAAACTTATCTATCCCACAAAAAGTAACACACAAGGGAAATAGACTATTTGCTGCAGCAACGTTTGTCATAACCAAGTCCTGAAAGCAACCTAAACATCCACCTATACAAGACCGGTTAAGTGAATGAGTTCCACTTTCATGGTGTCTCAGCTACTAGGAGAGCAGCAACTTGGGCCAGATGCTCACATGCTGGCCTCTGTGGCTATGGCGGGAAGAGAAGCTTCCAGAGCACCAGGGCCAGGTCTTTTAAATAAAATTGGGGGCTTGCCTAAAGCATGGTTGTTACTCAACAGTTAACTTCACAAAAGATCAGAGCTGAAGAGGACTTCAGTGCTCATCCCCACCCTCTCCCACTACAAGTGGAGAAACTGAGGCCCTAGAGCAGCTGTTCTCAGCCTGTGGGTCACAACCTATAGAAATTGTATTAAAGGGTCACGGCATTAGGAAGGTTGAGAACCACTGCCCGAGAGGAAGAGGGGGACTTGTCTGAGGTCACTCAGGTTATTAATGGAGAGCCAAGATCTCACATTTCCCCAGCCTTTCAATTCTGCA